TTATTTACAATGAATTTTTTAATATTCATTATTTATTATTTATTAGCCAATATGCTCTTTTGACTTCCTAAGCGAGTATGCGAGTATAAGAAAAAGTTAAGTAAGGAAAATGTAAGCTCTCAATCCCTCGCTTTTACTTTGTGCCCAATATCTGTGATAATATCTCTTGATTATGTCTAAAACACAGCTGGCATAGCATAGATCTGGCTGCAGAGAAGCCTCTACAGGGTATCCTAATAACAAGCCACAACAGCATCATGCGAGTACATCATGCATTTCTCTGCTTAAGTTGAGCAGCGCGCGCGCACGCTCTCAAGTGCTAAAGAAGATTCCAAGCGGCAGCATTAAGTACCCCGATTCGGGTGTAGTTGCAACTGCAACAGTTGCAACTGCAGTTGGACAGATGTACTTATAAATAGCTAAGATGCTGGCTGGCTGGCTGGCTGGTACTACCTCAAGTAAAGTGCCAGGGCGGTGCCAGGCGGGTGCCAGGCGAGGCAGTTTATTACATCAGTTGGGCAAAGAGTTGGACGACGCCGACTTCGACAGCGATAAAACAAAAGTGCCTTTTGTTTCGACTGCTGCAAAGCCATAAGAAGACTTTGATGAATGTAATAGCCACTCTAACAAACTTTGGATATATAAATACACACACACACACACACACACACAGAGAACAGCAAAGAGGGAGAGCAGGGGATTGTGGAGACTTCACGCATTTAAATGCATATAAATTTAAAAACAAGCTGAAAATTTATGCACACAACCCACACAGCTCCCAGGGCGAGCTAAATGGGATTTTGAGGCAAGCAAATGCATAAATAAAACACACAAACAAACAAACAGACAGGCACACATATATACATAAGAGTTGATTATAATATAGCATATGCATTAATAGAGTGAAAAGAACTTAATGTGATCGCAACAAATCTGAAGCTCATGACACTTCCAGCAGTTGCGCAATCTGCCGGCCTGTAAAATTAATGGCAGAGCGCACGCAAGCTCAATGCGCTTTTCCCAATTGGTGTCCAATTGGAAAGCGTAGCGCGCATCAACCAGCCTTTGATTGGGCTGACAATATTGAAGGCGAAGACAATGCAAAGTGAAAATTGTAAAAATATGGCGGCCGAGCCGAGGATTGCCAGACGTAATGTGCTAGAGCTGCCACTAAGCTTAGCAGCTTCTAGAGCAATTTACTTCGATAAATTGTAATTTCAACATCAACTCTGGCCTTGCCTAATTTCAATGTGAGTCGATAAATCAAATTTAGATCATTCAGTTCGTGTTCTCGGCGTGTGCGAAACGTACATTTTCAATTAAATAAAATTTTTGAAAATTTTATTCATTATATTCAAAAATGGAGGACGAAAGCTCAATGTTTTTTTTTGGCGTTAACATCAAGCCATATCGTAAATATACCCAGCATGTAACCGGTTCGCTGCATATTTCCAACGTTGCCCTGGCGTCTGGCGCCAGTGGGAAGTTGTTTTTGAAAATGCACAACCAGAAGTTTACCGTTGCGACTCTGAGCACTGCGACGCCTCAAGCATCACTGGATCTTAACTTTAGCGACGGCGATCGTGTATACTTCTATGCGGTCGGCAATGGCCATCTGAGCATCTTGGGCTATGCGCTGAGCATACAGCAACCGGCTAGCTATGTGTCCTATCGCAATATGCCGCCCGGCGGACTACATGCAGATAGCTGGTTCTATGATGGCGATGAGGATAGCGCCGATAGCGTTGCTACCTATAGGACCTTGTCCGATAGCTACATGCTTGATAGTTCCGAGGACAGCATGGATAGCAGCCACACTCAAAGTGCGCCGGAAGCTGACAATAGATCGACCGAGACCGACGAGAACAAAGCAAATTCGCAAGTGGATACCGTGTATGAGCTGAGCAGCGACAATGAACGCCCAGGCGTAATCATTGAAGAATTGTATCCAACGCCAGGTAAGTGGGGGGATATTATGGCGACTGGGAGCGGGTGAACATGATGTGACATGGGTATGACGAAGAATGCTGCTGGTGGGGCTAGAGGGGGATAATAAGAGAAATGGAAACTTACATTGGTATTCCACAGCTACAGAGGATCGCGAGGCCCAGACATCAACCGGACTAAATACAATGCCGCAGAGTATTGAGGTTATAATTGTGAATGAAGATGTTAATGAAGTTGAATATGTAAATGTAGATGTCAACGAAGTTGACACTCAAGAGATTAACGAAAATGACGATAGGAATGCCGAGATTGCTAATGATTATGATGAGAATGAGAATGTGATTGATGCGGAACAGAACGACAACGATGGGACGAATGATGAGAATTATCCTATTGAATCATCCGCTTCCACTGATGAACATCAATCTCCGCCGGCCAAAAGAACCAGACTATCGAGTGCTAGCGATGCCGAGCAATAAGATCTTATGAATAAAATAATTAACTGAGACGGTAAGAAAATACCTAAATTATTATTATTAATTTGCAGTATTATTACATTATTATTGTTAATATTTTTCGTTTCAGAGGTAGATCATGCATATATGCTTATGTATAATGAAATATAATCACGAAGAAGAAGCTCGTTTTTTTTTTTTTTTTTTTTTTTTTTTTTTAGCAGAAAAGAATTTTAAATCAAAAACTATAACTGTAAAACGACTACCTCGGAAAAAAAAATAATTTAAAAATATTTTAAGGAGTATGCCTCGCTATTGATGAAAGACGAACTAAATATGAATGTAAATTTAGACGTTGTTGTTTTTTTTTTTTTTTTTTTTTTTTTTTTTTTTTGTAGTTTAAAGAAACTTTTTTTGAAATGTACTTTAATCTGATACATTTATTTTGTATTTAAATGCGCTACTGAAAAGTAGGAAACAAAAATATCCATTGAAATATATTATATCCACTATTATGTTGATATCGCTTGTTTTTTTTTTTTTTTTTTTTTTTTCTTTAACTTATAGAATTTAGTTGTGAGATTGTTGTGCCTAAACTTTATTTGCCTACTGTGAATTTCTTTTCATTTATTTATTTCAATTATTGCACATTTAGCCGTATATACTACATCGGAACTCTTAATATTTACTATCAAGTTGAAGTTGAATAGCTGAAAGGATTAGTAAAAGCGCAAATTAGCGCTGGCCAGTCGCCCATTCGTTGACAGAGAGGCGTTGACCGTGAGCCGGTGAGATCGTCCGGCTGGCAAATGGGAGCACAAGCACCTGCAAATTAAAGCCATTTCGTATTGACACTTTGGGCCGGGCCCATCGGGCCCATCGCGCACGATAAGAGTGGAGAGCTGCCTGGACTGAGTGACAGTCTTAATTACAGAGAGATTAGCATGGTTGGGCAGAGGACGTTTGAGGCTCGCCCACAGTCTCAGTGGCAGTGCTGAGTGCCTGCCTTGACGTATTGTATTCAATGTCACGTTTCATGACGATGATGCTGCAAACTGAAATGCCAAAAGAGTGACAGATGGAGACAGACTCAGAGAGAGAGAGCGAGAGAGAGAGGGGGGGGGGGGAGGGAGATGAGCTGCGAGTGTGTGGGTGTGTGCGCGTCTGTCAGAGCGAGATGCTGCACAGGTGCAACGGTAGACGTTTCCTGTGCTGCCTACTCCTTCTGCTCCAGGCCGTTGCAGTTACTTATTTTTGCTTTTGTTACATTTGATTGTCGCAAACGAAGTGGAAAAGTAAATGTTGAGCGCACACACACACACACACACGCACACATGCAAAGGCACGCACCATTCCAAGCACTGGAATGCACACTAATTACTTACTCTTTGGTTGCCTTAGGGGCTGGGTTGGTGTAAGGAAACTGGTTTTACTTTAACGCTTCTATGCCTGAGCCATTTACACTTTTTATTTGCCTTTCGTTCTGTTTTATTTCTTTTGCATGCTTTTCTTTCATTTTTTTTTTGCAAGTGATAATTGAAAAGCAGCAGCAGAAATTATTGGCCTTTGTTTGTGCGCACGCAGCAAACGGACTGCGGGCGGTCCCTTGGTTGATGGCGCGTGCTATGTGGGCGGCTGGGCTGGTTGGCTTGAATGGCTGCCATGGCTGGCAGACGTATTGTAAAAGTCATTCAGATAAGTAAAATACAATAGAGAACGAATGCGCTCAAGCTACAGATAATATCGTTTTAATGGAAATGGGCAAAATTAATAACCCACCACATTGGGTGCAATGAGCATCGAGCGCAGAAGTCAATTAATCCTGGAATATACATACATACATATATATGTATGTATGTATGTGCATATATGTATCTGCTGCCAATTTGCAGTATTATAGTTTAAAGAAACATATTCATTATCAATTAAGTGCTATAGCTTTAGGTTAGTTTTTGTCCCTTCTTTGTGCAATCATGCTTGCTTTTCCAATCAAGTAAAGCGATATTTTTCCATTTTAATAGCCACTGTCGATTTGCATATCGTTCCTGTATAATCATAACTTCAATGTTTTAGCTGCGCACGCAAAGTTTTAGCCAAAACATGCGACAACAGCAAAAATAGCATAAAAAACATTAGCTAATTGCTATGTGATTCCAATTCGTGTCACATTCACACGCACACGCACACACACACGCAGCAATGCATGTATGCATGCAAAACTATGTAAGCGCAAATCTTGGTAAAAATAACAAGAGAGACACCAAAAATTGACTCCTCGCTCAACATTCATTGCTTTGCTTATTCTGTGTCTCTCTCTGCCACATTCTTTCACTTCCCTTACGTACACACATACATACATACATGTATGTATGTATAATTGGTTTCGCCGATTTCACTAGAAATTCAATTAGTACGCGTGAAAAAGCGGCTTATTGAACAGTTACGGCAAACTTAGTTGCGCATTTAGTTGCGCACTTTGCAACGTACAAAATAGCAAATTATCTGTTAACTAAATTTACTTTTCATCTGCTATGCAATTTGTTAAGTTGTATAAATTAAAGCATGCATATGTATACCCATGTTTATGTACAAAATACATATTTTGATTTATGTATTTCCAGACGTATTTACAGACAACAGAAGTCAGACCACATACAAATTAAATGTATCTCAAGCATGTAAACAATAATTCTTATAATATACTATACTATATAATATACACGCATTTTGCATTTAAGGCCGCGCATGGACATATTTAAGCGTAAATTCAAATATGTATATGCGCGGCCTTTCAGAAAAAATAGGATATAGCGTTGCCACTCATTAGCGTTGCCGTAGTACAGCGTGCAGTGTGCAATTGGTGCCACATTTGTATATCGTTAGCACAGTGTTGCTACGGCGAATCGATTGTTTAAAACAGTATATTGACTAATCGGAAAGTCCATGTACATTTGTACATCTCTAAAATTTGGCTAAGACGCTAAACAACGCAAAAGAGAGAATGAAAATTTTACCTAAACTTGCGCCAAAATAATTTGCAAGCTGCAAAAACATCGAATTCACACTTGGACACAATATGCATTATATACAAATCGTGTAGCAGTGAACATATACCAAGAAAAGAGAAATTATAACAAATAGAAGAACAACGCGGCAAGGCGTGCGAAAAATAGTTCACCAAAAAGTACGTGGAGGAGGTGGTGGACTTTGAAGGGAATTGATAGCAGCTCAACAACATAAACACCTAGTTAAAATGTACAGCCACCATTAATACTGTATAAAAGTGGCGTTAGTTTCGGATTACACGAATTACGAACGGTATTTACAAAATATGCAGGTGAGTGTTAAGCATTTGATAATTTTCAATGGATTTGGATGAATTTGAACAATGCGTATGTTGCAGCAAGTGGATGATCCGCCATCGCTGCCCGTGGGCACCGAGGTGAGCGCCAAGTACAAAGGAGCCTTCTGCGAGGCCAAAGTCAGTAAAGTGGTTCGTAACATCAAAGTGAAGGTCGCCTACAAACAGGGTCTCGGCTCGGGCATTGTATCGGACGATGCCATCAAGGCGCCACCTGGACAGCTGCGCGTCGGCGCCGTTGTCGAAGTCCGTCATCCGGATCGCAAGGAGAATGTGGAGGCGACCATAACTAAAATCCAGGATTGTTCTCAATATACAGTCGTCTTTGACGATGGCGACATCACAACGTTGCGTCGCACTGCGCTCTGTCTGAAGAGTGGCAGGCATTTCAATGAGAGTGAAACATTGGATCAGCTGCCGCTAACACATCCCGAACACTTCGGCAACCCGGTTGTGGGCGGTCGTCGGGGTCGTCGTCGTGGCCAATTGAACGATGGCAGCTCCGACGATGATGACGAAAGCGATGCAAAGGAAGTGGTCAACGAGAAGGAGGAGCACATTGGCAAAGTGGTGTGCGTGGAGACCGAGTCCAAGAAGAAGGACAAAGAGAAATGGTTTCCCGCCCTCGTCGTGGCGCCCACAGCGCAGGTCAGCAAACAGGTAAGTCAAAGCCTAATTCAATTTCCAATTACAATCTTAATCGAATCAATTACAATCAATAGGCTACTGTGCGGATACGCGTCAAGGACGAGTATCTGGTGCGTTCCTTCAAGGATGGCCGCTACTACACAGTGCCCAAGAAGGAAGCGAACGAATTCACACTTGAAATGGCCAGCAAACAGGACGTGCCCGCTGTGAAGGCAGCTTTCGAATTCCTCGAAAGCAGCAAATTACCAGCCCACTGGGATCGCGACTCGCTGTTCGGCCTATCCAATCTGACAAGCGACGATGAGGGCGAAATCGATTCGGACTCGTCGGACGACGAGCCACACGAGGAGAAGGATCGCTTTGTTGCCCAACTATACAAGTATATGGACGATCGGGGCACACCATTGAACAAGGTGCCATCGATACAGAGTCGCGACGTGGATCTGTACCGTCTGTTCCGGGCGGTGCAGAAGCGTGGCGGCTACAATCGCGTCACCGCCAAAAACCAATGGAAAGTAATTGCCGTGCGGCTGGGCTTCACGCCCTGCACCCTCAGCGTCATGAATCTGGTGAAGCAGGCCTATAAGAAATTTCTACAGCCCTATGGGGACTTTCATCGCAAGCTCGGCTGCTCCATGCTGATGACCTCTCGCGCCTCGAATCGCAGCAAGGGGCGCAGTCTGGTGCGTGCCAATTCGGTGGCCTCACCCAAGCCGGTGGAGACCACGAAAATAGAAACCATTAGCAAACTGGCGATGCCCAATCAGACCACGGTGGCCGCCAGTGGCGCCTCCTCCACTGCCGCCACAGCGGCAACGGGCAGTAGTGGCGGCAGTGCAGCAACTGCAACGCCCGTACGCGCCGCCTCAACGGCCTCGCAGTCGGCCACTGAGGAATCGGAGAACACCAGCGAGTCCAGCGTGGCTGTGGAGCCGGTCAAAAAACAACGCAAAGCATCCGCTGCCAACAGCGGCAAGGTCAAGAGTCTGGTGGAGAAATACGAGGAGAAATCATCGTCCGTATCGAGCATTGGCCCAGTCGCAACAGCAGCGCTCAACACGAGCAATGTGAGCAGCGCAGCGACAGCTGCAGCTGGAGCAGCATCAACATCAGCCGGAGCAGGAGGAGGAGGAGGAGCAGCAGCAGCAGCCGCGGCATCAGCTGCTTCGTCCACAGCAGCAACAACAGCAGCTGCTGCCAGTATCAAGGCCGAGGCTGAGGCGGATATGCCGCTGGCTAAGATCAAGGCCTCGTCCGTATCGACGCGCAACAGCATGGACAAGGAGCCCAGCGCTGGCGGCAGCAATGCCTCCAGCAAGGCCACCTCGGAAACCCAGCGCAGTCGCGATGCATCGCCCACAACGGGTAAGTGCAACAGATCTTATCTTAATCCTGACATCACTTGGGGGTTGCTCATAGAACTCTGGGATAGCTAATAGAAGCTTAAGTGAGGTGGATGAGTCTTCCGCATATAGAAATAGACCTTTAATTATCTTTCCTTAGTGGGGAACAAAAAAAAAAAAAAGGGAAAAGCAATTCAATTTCCGACAGTCCTAGATTAGCTTCACTTTCACCTTGTGGTAGGCATTGGCGAGCACGCCACGTAGATTCCATATGTTCTCGAAGCTCTCCGGCTGCACATTGTAGGCGGAGTCCACGGCCTTGGCCCAAATCTCAAGTTCCGATTGCTTCTGCTGCTCATCGGTTACGGGCAAACGAATGGACCACAGCGACCAGCCGTAGTGGCGTCCATCGGGCTCTTTCTCCTGCTCCAGTTTGGCGACATGCCATGTTTTGCCGCCGTCGTTTGTCAAGTCCACGCGCTCAATGCGTCGACCGCCGCCGCTCCAGGCATAGCCATAGACGGTGATGTGACCCTTGTCCACCTTGACCCGTTCCTCGGGCATGGGCGAGCAGATGGCCGAGGTTACTGGCATCGCTTGTATGGCCTGTGCCTTGCCAAAGTCCACGGTGTCCCAATCGGTGCTGGGGCTGAAGCCCTTGTAGTCGTTCTGCTGCCAGTGGGAATCGGACTCGTGATCGGCCACAACGATGCGGGTCAACCACTTGACATTGCGCGCACCCACAGTGCCGGGCACGATGACCCTAATGGGATAGCCATGGTCTCGCGTCAGCGGCTGTCCGTTCATTTCGTAGGCCAGCACCACATCGCCACGCGGATCTAGTGCCTTGGACAGTGGTATCGAAGCCCCGTACGGATGCGCCGTCGGATCCAGGTCAGCGCCCTCGAATATGACCTGCAAGTGCTCATCGGGCTCCACGCCCTGAGCACGCAGCACATCGCAGAGGCGGGCGCCCGACCATTTGGCATTGCCCACGGCTCCAGCACCCCAGGACAGGCCTGCAAAGCAGAGATTAGATTAGATGAGATCAGGTCAGGGTGGGCTACGCCACATGGGAGGTTCACCTTTGACGGGCTTGATGCGCGTCATTTCGGAGCGACGATTGCCGCCGCACATGATGGCCGCCGTGACCGTGTGCTTGGGCAGCTTCTTAATATCGTCCAGATTGAAAGTGCATTTGCTCGACTTGCCAGCGCCCGCTTCCACCTCCAGCTCGAGCTCATAATCCTCGGCACTGATGCATGGCACGGGCAAATGATTCCGCACATAGAACAGCTCGTTGGGCGTGTAGAAGTGCTCGCCCAGCATGCTGATTGGCGGCTCCGCATTGAACGGCCGCTTGCTGGCCGGCTTGAGCAACTCGTGGCGTTTCGGCTCCTGTGCCCAGGGTGAGCCCAGCTCATCGTTTTCTATGGCTTCCAGTTTGTTCAGATTGCCAATGCGAAAGCTCTCCAACAGCTCGAGCACATCCAATGTATTGTGCTGCTGGTAGATGGCCCAGAAGGGATCGATGGCGTTGCCAGCGGCCATCATTATTTTATCGCCACCGGGATGATTGGGCGCGAATTCGGTGACATCGTAAACGCCTATTCCATAGGTGACCCAAATGCCAGTCTCTGGCTTATCATGCTTCAGCACATCCTCCACACTGTACGTGGGCAGATCCGTTCGTTTCGTCTTGTGCCAGAGTCGTGCCGCCTCTTCCGCGTCCAATGCGACTGGAGATGATGTGGCCTTTTGAGGTTGCGCCAATTCCACTGGCTGGCGGCGCTTCTTGTCCAGCTCATGGAACAGCCAATAGCCGGCACCAATACCGCCCACTGCAGCAGCAGCATAAAGCGCTCGACTGCCTCCTGGCTGGTACTCCTGGTGCTCCTGCTGATGCTGTCCAGATGCGCTTGTCGCCAGCAGACGATGACGTTGCCGATTTCCCAGACGCAGCTGTTTGCTGGCCGTGGTCAGGAGACGTAAACGCATGATGTGTATATTATATAATCAGCCACTGCTGAGCAACCAAGTCCGTTTAAAGCTTCGTCGCAGCGCCAATTGTCACATTATCTGGAACGCACGACTAGAGTGAAACGCTTTGTTTGCTTTTTATTTTGTGTTTGTTAAGTTTGTGGCGTTGGCCCCCAAATTGTCGCAATGCTTGAACTATTGATAAGATCAATGTGAATCCGATTTAATCTTTGTTCTCTTTCGTTAATCTCTTCTTTATTGGGGGTCTGTTTTGAGCTTTCCTTTTCGGTTTTCGGGTTTTTTGTTTGTACTCTAGTTGCGCCGGCACGTACGCACTCATACACACGCAGACACACACACCTGTTAGTTAGCTTTATATTGTTATTGGCGTACTATCGATAGCTCGTGTCGCGCTATCGAAATATCTAATATCAGCTAGAGCTGTATAATGTTGTGAAACTATCGAGCAGCCAAAATAAGCTAAAAATTGCAACAAAGCAAAGGGAAACATATTGGCGCATAATTGTATTCACTTATAATTCTTATTTATGAATTAACAATAGCAGATCATTTGTAAAACAGTATGAATATCTGACAACTGCTCGATAAGGCAGTGACTTGAGCCTTAAAAAGGCTAGATCTGTCGTGAATGCAGCTAAATTGGCAATGCTAACGCGAATGACGTTGTTTAAAGTAGAACAAAAATACTGATACGGGTATTCCCTTTGGCAATAAATGAGTGAACTCTTACGTTTATAGGAATATCCCTAACAGTAACTAACAGTTTGCCTTTGTACATGTACATACACACACGAACATGAGCAGCAGTTATTCATGTGCATTTGTCTCTCTCTAACCCATGCAGCGACCGGAACAGCAACAACTGCAGCCAGTACAGCAACAAGCACAGGCGCATCAACGAAAAAGGAGAAACATCAACAACGCAAACAGGTGGAGAAAGGCGACGAGAAGCGCGGCAAGCGCAAAAAGGACGAAATAACCGTTGAAAAAATTGATACCGGTGATTTTGTAGTCGGGATCGGCGACAAATTGAAGGTCAATTATCACGAGAAGAAATCACCCAGCTCCCATGGCAGCACCTACGAGGCGAAGGTCATCGAGATCAGTGTGCAGCGCGGCGTGCCCATGTACCTTGTGCACTACACCGGCTGGAACAATCGCTACGATGAGTGGGTGCCGCGCGAGCGCATTGCCGAGAATCTAACCAAGGGCTCGAAACAGAAGACGCGCACCATCAGCACCAGCAGTGCCAACAGTGGCGGTGCACCCGCCCAGGCAGCTAGCACAGCTGGCAACAGCAGCAACAATAATAACGGCAACAGCAGCAACAGTGGCCCCAACGCCTCGTTGCCTCCCAAAGATGGCTCCGGCAAAGCGGAGCAACAGCAACAACCACCTGGACCGGGCACGGGACCGAGTGCCTCGCTGCTCCAGGGCTTGACCAAGACACCAACATCGTCGGCGGCACTCACCACCCAGTCGGGCAGCAAACGTGGACGCGGACGTAGCGACTCAATGCCGCCGCGCTCCACAACACCCTCGTCGGTGGCCTCGAACTCGAGTCGCACCAAGTCGCCGGCTGCTTCGCAGTCGCTGGCGCAGCTGAAGCACAAGCGACCCACACGCACGCTGCCCATGAGCAGCAGCAGCAGCAGCAACAATCAGGGCCGTCGCATCTCTGCCTCGGCATCCATCTCGGCCAATGTCTCGGATGCCTCCATGGGCAGCGACAGTGACACGGATTCCGATGAGCCAGTGCGTCGTCCCAAGCGGCTCAATGCCAAGGATGCCCAGCAGCAACAGCAACAGAGCAAGGCCAAGGCAGCTACAGCCAGTGGCAAGAAGGTGGCGCCCATACGACGCACCACCGGCAGCGATGACAGCGACGACGACGATGACGAGGAGCAGCAGCAGCCAACACCATCGTCATCCGGCAAGCAACAGTCGCAGGCGGCACAGCAGCAGCAACAACAACAACAACAGGCAACAGCCATTCAGCGACCGCGCGCTGGCAATCGTGCCATGAGCAGCGGTGGAGCGGGCAAGGGGCGTGACTACGATCTCAGCGAGATACGATCGGAGCTGAAGGGCTTTCAGCCGCAGCTGCTGGAGCGCAAAGAGGCCATCAAGAGCGAGCCGAGCGATGTGCAGGCCAAGCAGGAGCCCAAGACGGGCAGCTCCACAGAGCAGTCATCCGAGACGGATTCCTACATGGACGAGGACTCGCAGTCCTCTGAAAAGTTGCCCTATCGCAAGCAGCAGCAGCAGCAGCAATCGACAACCAGCGATAAGCGCAAAGGTGCTGCAGCAACAGCAGCTCCAAGCGGCTCCACTGCAGATCTTGATACGCCCATCAAGAAGGAGTCGGAGAAGCCGCACATCAAGCACGAGACTCTCACTGGCGAGGATCGCAAGCCATTCAAAGTGGAGCCCAAGGAGGAGCAGGCAAAGCCATTCCATAGCGGCGCCGATATCAAGCCAACGACAACAACATCAATAATAGCTCCAGCACGCTTTGGCGCCAACAGCAGCAGCAACAGCAGCGGCGGCGGTGGTGGAACAGCCAAATGCACCTCGGTGATCGTGGAGAAGCCGCTGACAATGATCAAGAAGACGGAGAAAAGCGAAACGACAACAGCGTCAACAGCAACTGCAGCAGCAGGAGGAGCAGGAGCAGGAGCAGGAACAGGAGCAACAATGTCGCCTGGCCAAAAGCTAGAGCTGCTGAAGAAACTGCAGGCAGGTGGCTCCCTTGGCTTGGAGCGTGGCAAAAAGTTTGCCGAGCCGGTGCAGCACAAGGAGACGGCCACATTGAAGGTGGAACTGCCGGCTGCCTGTTCGCCCTCCTCATCCAGTTCATCCTCCAGCTCGTTCTGCTCGAGCAGCAACAATTCGGCTGCCACGTCCGCCAGCCTGAGCAGCTCGTCGGCCACGCGCTCTTTGCCGGACATGAGCAAGCTGGAGATAAGCAGCGGCACCACCACCACCACTACAACAACAGCGGCCGCTGCAGCCACAGCCGCAGCTGGCACGGGCAAGGAGTCCAAATACAGCAACGTCGGTGGTGGTGGTGGTGGTGCTGCTGCTGCTGGCGGTGCTGCCGGCATCAACAACAGCAACCTGACCAGCGGCATCAAGCGACTCTCCTCGGACGTGTACGAGTTCAAGGACACCGAACCCTTCGAGTTCGAGAAGCGCATCTCGCCCATGGCCTGTGGCACCTCGGTCATTGCGAGCAGCAGCAGCAGCAGCAGCACGCCGCCGGCACCGGCGCCGGTGATTGTCAGCGCCGCGGCACGGAAGCAGGCGCTCAAGATGATTCCCATACCGCGGAGCATCGAGCATCAGCTGCCACATGTGGGCCACGAGCCAGCGACGCGTGGCTATGCCGCAGGTACAGCAGCAGCTGGTGGAGCAACAGCGGCAGGAGCAACTGCTGCGACCAGCACGCCGAGCAAGGCCAAGAAACGCGGCTCGCCGCTCAAGGAGGCCAGCCTGACGGCCTTGGAGAAGCCTAAGCTAATCAAAGTGGAGCAGCAGCAGCAGCAACAGGCGACCGCAGCTGCGCAATCCTCGCCAGCAGCCAGTCCCAACAGTGTCAAGTCGTCCGCGGCGTCGGCGTCTGGAGCTGGCAGCAAGGCACAGGCAGGCAATGCAGCTGGATGCAATGCAGCAGCAGCTGGAACAGTTGCTGCCGGCGCACAGCTAACGCCTGGGCATCCGCATGCCACGCCCTTCGATGTGCTGCGCAGATCGCCCAGCTTCAATTTGAATATCGTGGCCCTCAACGAGGAGCTCGCCCAGACGGTGCAGGAGACAACAAGGGCGCTCAATGTTGCACTGCAGCCGCTCCCTGATGCACTGCAGCTGCCAGCAACGCCGCCAGCAGCAACCGGAGCACCTGCAGCTGGAGCTGGAGCTGGAGCTGCATCTGGATCAGGATCAGTTTCTGCTGCCTTCACACCAGTCATTGCTGTGCCCGTCTCCCCCAAGCTGAGCACTCCACCCCAAGCGATGGGCGTGGCGAAGACAACACAACAACAACAACAGATTGTGGGCAGTCCGTTCATGGAGACGCGCAACGTCTTTGAGCTGAGCACCTCGAACGAGGGCAGCGGCTACAGCTCCGGCGAATCGAACAAGGACAACAAGCTGGAGAAGCTGGAGAACGTGAAGATCTTGCTAGCGGGATCTGGGGCTGGTTCATTCGATCTGGACGCGGTCAAGTACGAGCAGAAGCCCACCTCCATTGCCGACAAGGTGCTCAAGGCCATCAGCCAAAAGAAGGAGGAGGTGGAGCAGAGCAAAACCAAGATCCAAACGGAAAGCAACACGGACAAAGACGAACCGCCGCAACAGCAACCGCTTCCGCATCCGAGCAGCCTCAAAGTGGAACCGAATAGCATCAGCTCGACCCTAAAGCTGGACACATTGAGTCTGCTAAGTGAGCCGCTCAAGGTGCAGACCGGCAGTGGCCTGCCCTCGGTGCTGAGCGAGCTGTACCACCGGACGAGCAGCAGCAACAGTCCCGAAACGAAGTCCATTCTGGATGCATCGCTGCCGGCGAAGAATAACGAGCTGAGCGAAACCATACAGAAGCTCGAGTGCGCCATACAGCGCAAGACGCCAGTGGCTGGCCAGTCGTTGGGCTCATCTCTAGCTGGAACACCGCCGGTGACAGCAGCAGTGGGCACTGCCAGCTTCTCGGATGAGTCGATGGATAGCACCGACTCCGAGCAGCGTCTGGTCATTGAGGATGTCATTGCCGAGGAGCCGAACACAGCTACCGAACTGAAGAGTCCAATGTCCGAGGGAGTGGGCGGCCTAATGGGCAGCGCCCCGGTCAAGCTGGAGCTGGCGGCTGCGGGCAGCAAACCGTTGACGGGCGTCCAGGCACCCATTGCATTGAAGCCCGTCTACATGATGGGTGTGCCGATGTCCATGAATGTCTTCCTCAACAAGGAGCAATCCACAGTACCGCCAACAACGTCACCGACACCAACTGGAACAACTGCAACAGCAGCAGGAGCTGGAGCAGCTGGAGCAACTGGAGCAGCAGCAGCAGCTGGAGCAGCTGCAACGCATACAGCATTGCCACCTGTGCTGTCTGCACCTGGAGTGCCAGTTGTGGTGCCCGAGATCCCAGTCTCTGTGGTTGTGGCACTGCGTCACAGTCCGGGCAGCGCCAGTCCCGCCTCACCCAAGCCGGACGCGAAGCAAACGCCCAAGCAATTGCTGTCCGCCACCGACGAGGGCGGTTTGCTGCTGAAGCCGTACACGGCCCAGGCGAGTCCACCGTTGCCGGAGGCTCAGGCACAGGCTCAGGCACAGACTCAGGCTCAAGCTCAATCCCACTCACAGGCACAATCATTGGCCGTGGAGGCCAAGGCGTCGCCGTCGCCGCTGCCACGCCCATTCGCACTGTACCAACAGGCCAAGGAGCTGCCCATGCACGTCTCACCCGCAGCGGGCAGTCCACTGATCAGCGAGGCCTCCCACACGGAGGCAGCCATCAATCTGCTCTGCGAGGAGACCATACCGGGCAGTCCGGCACCCAACTACAGCAGCAAAGACGAGCCGACGGGCAACACACTTGGCCTGGCACTAGGCACTGGTGGCGCCGCTGTCACTAGCTCATCCGCCGTCAGCTCCACGCTGACCATTCCGGGCATCGCGCCTCTGCCGCCGGACACACCGTCGCCGCGTGCCAACCAAGCGGCACTGGCTGGGCAGTCGGCGCCGGCTGCCTCGGTGTCGCCCAACAGCTCGCCGGAGTCGCCGGCCAGCCAGGACGACAGCAGCGAGGAGACCGGCAGCAGCAAGAAGCACGCCGAGCTCGAGAGCAACAGCGCGCTCAGCAGCCGACGCAAGCGACGCGCCAAGGCGAGCGAATCGAATGTCCAATCCGCTGTCTGTCACTTCCTGGGCAAGCGCCGCAGGCAGCAGATCAACAACATGCGCAAGACAGCTGCAACGACAGGCAAGTATCTCGGTGTGGTGTGGCGTAGTAGCAAGAACAGTGTTGCAAAACGACTAAAGAGTGTTGTGACTCATGATCCACAGAATAAAAGCGGATTCTCATTTATGATCAGTTTATAGTAGAATCCATTTATATAGTATTGATATATACTCTTGCTAGGTAAAGAAGAGTTCCGATCAAAGTTATCCATGACCAAAATAGTATTGGAAAAGGAAAAGTATTGGAAAAGGAAAATGGGAATCAATTTGTATGCTAAATTGACAGTAAAATCTTTATGAAATACGAATTTATAGTATTTATGTAAGGTTCCGTTAACTTGCTCCATTACGAAAACAGTGCTGGGAAACGGCTTAAGAGTATTGAGGTTCATGGACAGCGAATAATAGGGGAATATGTTACGAACTCTTATGACAAATTTGCATTACAATGTTAATGAAATATGAAATTAGATAGACTTTCGTTATAGTTTCTCCAAGGCGAAAACAGTGTTGGAAAACGATTGAGGAGTGTTGAGCTTCATGACATAGAAAATAAAATGAGAATAATTTGTAGGCTGAAAACTGTGCAGCACAATGAAAATTTTATCTCAAGCGTTCATTGGTAAATAATTGCGATTACGAAAACAGTGTTGAAAAGGAGCTTAGGAGTAACACATTGCCAAAGCTCCATTGAAATTCAATGGTAGCTAGCAGTTGCAATCCGCAAAAGTTGGAGAAAGAGAGAGCTCTTTGCTTCTCTCTCTCCCTCGCTCACTCTCTCTTTCTGTCGTGCTCCAAATTCTTGTTGTCTGCCCAAGGAAACTAGCTCGAATACTAATCTATTTTATAAACTTATTCTCAACTCTAGCTGGCTCCGATACGGATGATACTTCCGAGAATGTAGTCACCACACAGCGCCATAGTGCGCGCCATCAACTGTTGCCGCAGGGGCAACAGCAACAGCTGCAGCAGCAGCAGCAGCAGCATCAGCAGGAGCACCATCAACAGCAGCAACAACAGCAACAGCAGCAGCAACAACTGCCGCAGCAGCAACAACAACAACAGCCGGCACAAACAATAACCAATACATCGGGCGTAAGACCATGTCCCTACAACTTCCTGGTGGAATTGGGTAAGTGAATTGGGAAGGATTCAAAATTCAATTTGTGCACATGAAATCTAAATAATTCTATCAATCCTCTGCAGATCCCTCACTCAGCGCCGAGCAGTGCATATCGATACTACGCAAACAGATTCAGGATCTGCGCAAGGCCTACAACAGCATCAAGGGCGAGCTGGCCATCATTGATCGGCGTCGCAAGAAGCTGCGTCGTCGTGAGCGCGAGAAGAAGCAGCAGCAGCAGCTGCAGAGCCAGCAGCAGAGCAAGATCTGTGCGTAAAACGTAAATGCAATCCCAAATGCAATACACATACATATACATATAGATGCATATGTATATACAATATGTAGACACGTATATAAATCCAACACAATTGTATATTTGTATCGATTTAAGTCCGTTCCGTTCTGCTTCTGAATTTCTCCCCGCTCAGTTATAATTATTACTATATGCATATATATATATAGCAATTTTTTTTTTTTGTGTTCTGTAATGGAAACAGTTATACAGCATTTGAATGGCCCCAAATCGGTATCCCAAGCCATTTTAATAACATACAACAAATATACATAACAAAAACAAAAATTATAGAAACGAAAACGAAAAATGTAATATTAAATGCTTTTATTGATTGAAATATTGATTGTGTATCTCTGTGTATGTGCGTCTCTGCCTGTGTGTGTGGGTGTTTAGGAGACTGAGTAGCCGCCCTCCAGGTTGATGTGGTGGCCATTCACGAAGCTGGACTTGCTGCTCAGCAGATAGCCAATGGCATCGACCACCTCATGCACCTCACAGAAGCGATGCAGCGGTATATGGGCCAGCAGTGGCCCACTCTTGCCCGGATCGGACCAATTGTCACGGCCCATTTTGGTCAGCACCACGGTGGGGTTGACCGAATTGACGCGTATCTGACGTTCGCCTAGCTCCAGGGCCAACGATTTGGTCAGCGAGTCCAATGCCGCTTTGGTCGCGCTGTAGGCGGTGTGGCCGGCAAAGCTGCGGGATGCCGCAATCGAGGAGACATTGACGATGGAGCTGCCATTGCGCAGCTTGGGCAGCAGCGCCTGGGTCACATTGAAGACGGCCTTGATGTTCACATCGAATTGCCTGCAGAATGGGCAGCATATGAGATATGATCACTGGCAATTGACACCCCAACGACTTACGTATCAAAATCCTGTTCGGTCAACTCAGCGAAGGGTTTGATAATGGCCACGCCCGCATTGTTGACCAGCCCATCGAGCGGCGGCACAGCGGACAAGCCCTCACGCACCTTGTTCCAGTCGCGCAAGTCGAGCAACAGTGGCTTAATGTGCTGCGCATCGATGGCCACCAAATCCCTCAACTGCGGCTCACTGCGCGCCACCGCAATGACCGTGGCGCCAGCGGCGGCTAGCTGCTTGACCAGAGCATTTCCAATACCAGCCCCGGCGCCGGTCACCAGGATCACCTTGTTCTTTAAATCGCTCCACATTGCTTATATGTATAGGTATTTTGGTGCGTGTGGAAAATTTTGATCTGCTTCGCCGCTCGTTAGCTTTCTGAGACTGACCAAAGTTAGCTAATCTGATTTGTTTACATCTTATCGCTCTAATCCGCAAGAAGCTTTCAAAGCAAGCGATAGCTGTTCTGCCACTCTCTCTCTCTCTCTCTCCCTCACACACACTCTCTGCCTCACAGACACGCTCTCATACTCTCACGTATGAAACTCCCTTGGTACATGTTGATCGGTAGGGCGTTCAATGTCAAGCCAATAAATAGTTTGCTCTCATTATGTTGGCTGAGCATTTGATGCATTTTGTTTGCTTTCATAAAAGCTTTCCAGAAAATAATTTCATATATGCAAATAATAATAATGTAAGCTATATCGATTAAATGTGTGAGCATAGTTTCTTTCTTAATTACAGTTGTAGTTCTCCCATTCAGCTGACCAATAGAAATATTTATTTTTATAATTCATAAGCATATTTGTCTATTATTGCTCGCAGCTCAAGCTGAGCTGCTTAGCTACAATTGACTGAATTTTTCTGGGTCCTCAAAGTATGCTGCGTAAATTTTGCACATTTTAAATGGAAATATCGATAGGCTAGCACGACAGTGAACTATCGTTGCATATTGATATTGTTACATCTCTAGCTAATAGAAGCGCCGGCAAAACACAATTAATGGACATTTACAGTTATAGGCAAAACGTAAACAATTGCTAGGAAGAATTTAAGCGTACTGGAAATGGAGCAAACACAACCCGCAGGTAAGCCATACAACTCAGTATATATACAACTCGCTAGAATACACCTACTATGTCATACACAAACAGCAAAGCGCGCCAAACTGGAGACGAAGCACAAGCCCCTATTGGAAGAGGATGGTAAGCATAGCATAGTAAATTAGTCAAATCAGATTAAATAGTGAATATATATACATATAACTGTTGCAGAGACGCCTTCGGTATTCAATCCCAAGTATCGTGTCTGCCCCTATTTGGACACGATCAATCGCAATCTGCTGGACTTCGATTTCGAGAAACTCTGCTCCATATCGCTGACGCGCATAAACGTTTACGCCTGCCTCGTGTGCGGCAAGTATTTCCAGGGGCGTGGCACCAACACACACGCCTACACACATTCGGTGGGCGAGGCGCATCATGTGTTCCTCAATCTGCATACGCTGCGCTTCTACTGCCTGCCGGATAACTACGAGATCATCGACTCCTCGCTGGACGACATCAAATATGTGCTGAATCCGACATTTCTGCGCAACGAGATCAGCAAACTGGACCAGCTGCAGCCGAAGCATTCGCGCACCGTTGACGGCGTCCTCTATTTGCCCGGCGTGGTGGGCCTGAACAACATCAAGGCGAACGACTACTGCAATGTGGTGCTCCATGCCCTGTCCCATGTCAGCCCCTTGCGGGATTATTTTCTGCGCGAGCAGAACTATGCGACGATCAAACGGCCGCCGGGCGACTCCATGTTCACGCTGGTGCAGCGCTTTGGCGAACTGATGCGCAAAATGTGGAATCCGCGCAACTTCAAGGCGCACGTGTCGCCGCACGAGATGCTGCAGGCGGTGGTGCTGTGGTCCAACAAACGTTTCCAGATCACCGAGCAGGGTGATCCCATTGACTTTCTGTCCTGGTTCCTCAACACGCTGCATCGCGCCCTCAAGGGCAACAAGCAGCCCAATTCGTCCATTTTGTACAAGATATTCCTGGGCGAGATGAACATCTATACGCGCAAAATTCCGCCCGTTGAGCTGGACGATGCGGCCAAGCAGCAGCTGCTCGCCACCGACGAGTACAAGGATCATGTGGAGCACACCAATTTCATATATCTCACCTGTGATCTGCCGCCGCCGCCGCTGTTCACGGACGAGTTCCGTGAGAACATAATACCGCAGGTGAATCTCTATCAGCTGCTGGCCAAATTCAATGGCACCGCCGAGAAGGAGTACAAAACGTACAAGGATAACTTCATGAAGCGCTTCGAGATCACACGCCTGCCGCAGTTCATCATTCTGTACATCAAGCGCTTCACGAAGAACACATTCTTTCTCGAGAAGAATCCCACGATTGTCAACTTTCCCATCAAGTGAGTGGTGCAGTCAGTGGTGCATTCAATTCAGTTATTCATAATATTCATTGCAGAAATGTGGACTTTGGCGACATTCTGGGCATGAAGCAGCGCGACAAGGATCTGAAGGAAACGAAATATAATCTGGTGGCCAACATTGTGCACGATGGCGATCCAAAGAAGGGCACCTATCGCGTCCACATCCTGCACAAGGCCAACGGTCAGTGGTACGAGATGCAGGATCTGCATGTCACCGAAATCCTGCCACAGATGATCACGCTGACCGAGTCCTACATACAGATCTATGAGCGCTGCGCCGAGTCCTAGTCTTAATTGTATATATATGTATATATAAATCTATATATAAAT